TGACAACATAATTGCCGCAAATTATTTATGTGAAAAGATCCTTTAAAAAAAGCCTTAAATTAGTATTTTTGCATATGATATTTTCTAATATTATTCCTATATAATAATATTAGTAAATCTTTTATAATAGATTTTATATAATGGTTATAATTTTATATAATGATTTCTTATTATATAAGGTTAATATAGTATAAAAGAAATCGATATGTCATGAATTTTATCCCTTTTGACACCTTATATATAATTAATGATTTTTCTCGATATCATTCCATATAACTTTACTTTTCACATCACATAACAAACACTTAATTAGTATATTAATCTCAATTTTTTTTAAAGCTACTTTAATATACTTATGATATATAAATTTTGTTGAAAATAAAATAATTTCTATTTATTTATTAATCTTCTTTTTACAAAAAAAAAATGTTTCACTTAGATAATTTTATTATACTAAATTGTGACTTATGAATGAACAACTTGAAAGTGTATCCGAGAATTCGAATACTTTAGGCTCTCGAATATCTTCTTTGTCTGATCATTCGAAGCAATCCTTATTAATCGTCACTTTGAACTTGGTGATACCTACATTGGTATTTTTGCTGAACATTATAGTGGCTTCGATTATAGTATCTCGCCGACTCTACAAGCAAGAATCCAAGTTTTGCATACTGCTTAATTTATCCATTAGTGACGCTCTCACTTGTATTCCTTACTATTTCTATTATTGGCAATGGTATTCGAACATAGTTAGAAGCAATTTAGATATCTCTAAAAATATCCAATGGTCCCCCCTCGCAGAAGATTCCAACATGAGTTTTTGTCACGATTTAACGAGAAACAACGAATCGGTGGTTAATATGAATTTCGAAATTTGGATCCACGAACACCAGGATTTTATATGTAGAATAGCGCACCTCTTTTGGTTGAACTTGCATCAAGTGTCCATATTTTCGGTATGCCTGCTCAACTTAGATATGTACTTGGCTCTGATGTATCCTTTCAAACACATTCGAACTCTCGTATCTTACAAGTGCAAGATAACCGCCTTCATGTGTATGTTTATATGGCTTTGCAGTGTGGCCCTAATAGCTACCGGCGGATATTTGAACTACTCGATCATCGTTAACAAATGCTTCGGTTTTAACGTTTACACTTGTTTCCTGAACTTCACATTCTTGCACCGAGTGTTTTGGTACGCTAATTTTGTATTGGATTACGTGATACCATTCATGTGGATCGTTTATTCTTACGCTCGAATATACAGAGCCATCAAAATATCCAGGAACAAGATGGGAGCGAGTATAAGGAAATCACGGGAAAATATCTCATCGACCCTTAATAATCCTTCTAGCTTTCGGCTCAACAAAGTGAACGAAAATGAAAAAGACATCCATATGTCTCTAAGAAATATGAAAAGTTGTGAATATGACGATGAGAGTTATTGCGAAGAATTATGCCTAAATGATCATTGTATAGTGCGTCGAGATACGGAGGATTGTGATATTAAAAACAACAAGGGATATAATTACGAATATGAAAATATTTTGAAGATCAAAATTCAAGGCCCAGAAAATAAAGTGCGAAGGAGTCGTTCGTTGGGAAATAATATTAATAATAATATTTATAATGTTAGCCTTAGATCAAAAGGAAAAACGGGTATTCACTTTGACAATAAAACATCTCGATGTATTCATATCAATGGCGATAACAACCAGCAGTCCAACCAATGCAATGTCCCTATTTTTGGAGAACAAAAGAATTATACTAATATACGCAAACCTGACTCCTACACTAATTCGATACACAAAAACACATATAAAAATGTTCACCCGATGAAATGCAAACATATGAGAAATAAAGCCGGTGTAATCGATCGAAATAGCTACAATTATAAGGCTTCAAAGGAGTCCGAAAATGGGGTAAGGCCTCTTCTGAGGAACAAAAGATACCCACATTTGATGAACGAAGAATATTTAATTCAAAATACGTGTACCGTAGATGGTTGCGATAAATACGACACAGTGGAAATGGCCTACAAAAAATACAAGTTAGCTAATAGACAAGCCATTAAGAATTTGATAGGGAGTGTTCCTATTCGAGTGCCCTTCAGAAATAAATTACTTAGAAAAATTGGGCCTAGACTAACTCGATCCTTGAACTCTCATAATAATCTCAAATTTTGTAAAAAAGGTTATATGACCTCCATCGAGGAGCTCGATCATTATCACTTTGAAAGAACTCTTTTCAGTGACAAAAAAACTGGCCATACTTTCCATCAGTCGGAGGTGCAATCAAATGATAAAAATTTATTGGAGAACAATGTTGCCCGTAAACGAGCAAGTAACGATTATACCGCCTACGAGCAACCCATGTTTTCCTCGGAAATGAAAAAGTATATTCAGACAAGCATACTCATTATATTTCTGTTCTTCTGTTGCTGGACTCCATTTTACTTAAGAATGGGATTTGATCTAATCGTAGATGCTAATACGTTATGGTGGCTTAAGAATGATACAGCCTTCGCTTTTTTTATACTATTCTTAGTGGAACTCAATTCCCTCTTCAATCCTATAATATATTGTCTCAGGACCCAGAAGTTTCAAGATATTTTAAAGGAAATATTTAAAAATATATTCCGACGATTGTTTTGTTGTTATTTTAAACTTCATCCCATGTCTAAAGATGATAATTTTTATAAACAAGAACCTCTTTAAAATGAAAATAAATTTTATTTTTATCATTCTTAGTCCCAACATACCATTAATTTTTAATTTTCATTATTTTATTAATTTTTTTAAAATATATTGAGAAAATGATGCTTGTTGAAATTTCGTTTCGATTAGACCAAATGTACAATACAAATTATTCTAAATTTATAAACTCACTATATTTAGGAATTATTATTCACCTGATACTGTGTTGGTTTTCTATATTAGATAGAAGGGAAAATAATTTAACATTAAAATAATAAAATGTAGACATAATTAGGCGAGACATCCGCGACAGGCCGCTACTATTAATCATGGACTAACACACTCTAACCTATCGGTATAGCAGAAAATATTGAATGGAAACTACTCATAAAATATTTTAAATCTTAGATTTAAATTAAAACTTTACCAAATAAATAGGAATTTTTATATGCTAATTTTAGCAACGTTGGAATTAGGATCAAGAGTTTTACCCAACTTAACAGATGTTCAATTTATCGAGACTTTTTACATTAAAAAAACATTCTACCATCTATTATATTCTTAGTGCAAAAAAGGGTTATATTCAGTCATTTTCATATAATATTTTTATTATTATTAATTTATAAAAATCATGAAAACTATTTTTATACATAAACTTATTCAAAATAAGACATTAATAAAATTATTATAAAATGGTTGTATACAAAATAAAAATTAATTTATGATAAAATAAATCTTTGTTTATTTGGTACAATATGTTTTATCTGCAAAGCGTTCGAAAATATCTTCTTTGGATTTATGAATATTATGAACAGTTCCTATAGAAATATTAAATCTTTTAGCACATTCTCTTTGAGTATGATAATTTAGAAATTTAAGAATCTAAATGTTTTTTCCTTGTTTTTTTTATTAAATTTGTTATTTGCCATGAATAGTTTTACGTGATATTGCCTCAGAGCAATGCTTGGTTCTCTCAGAAAGCCAATCAAACTGGGATAAAAAAAAAGACTGGAAATGATTAAGAGAAGGACAATCCATGTCTTCTGGGCAAGCAGCGATTACTTGTGAGCGCAAGAGGAAACGCCACTTACTTAAACCCATGGGAAATAAGAGGAGAGGTATAAAATTTTGTTACATTTTACTTTTATTCAGCATTGTGAGAACCTAGGAATAAACATAAGATTAAATAAAATATACCAGTACAAGTACAATCAACAATAAAACTAGTTCTTTATACCCAACTTTGAAGATATTCAATACCATTCTATATTCAATACCCCAATATTTTTTTTTCAAAAAAACTATTATAAAGGAATGAACGTATATATGAATAGTTAAAAAGATGATAAAATTTATAATATAAATGAATGATGCAACAAACAACAAATGTCCATATTATAAGAAATCTTATGCGAATGGACAAATAACCATAATAGTATGGAAAACTTTTAATTGTAATTTCTCTGACGGTGAAAGTGGAATTAGAATTCCTAGATTCGTTAGTGAAATTAAATTTATCGTTTTGAATTGTGTTGATTGGTAGCCATAACTATTTGGTAAAATGCGAATAATTTGGTTTTTTGTATTTTTTGACTTAGTGCAATATACTAGTTTTTGCATTTTGTATGGGAATGGGATATAAGGGGTAAACTAGTGCGTCCAAACGGACCGGTTTAAATTTTTTTACTAAGGTTGCCAACCCGGTTCTAAAATTTTTTAAACTGCAAGACAATAAAAAACTATTTATAATCTTGGGGAGTTGTTAAATTAAAAATAATTCACATTATGGATTATCGCTTCCATGAAATATCAGAATTCATCAAATATATACACAAAAAATTATTTTGACAAATTTTGCCAGGCTCCTTTCCAATCAATTTTTTTAAGATTTTAATTTTATCGCTCCTCTTATATCTACATATTAAGAAAATAAAAATGATATTAATATTTATTGCAGTTTTCCATCTTTATAATTGTCAAAATTTTTAGTCGTTTTTAATGTTTTAAAGTAAAAAGTAATATTCATGTTGGTGGGTCTTACGGGGAAATTTTTTTATAATAGTTATTCCTAACGAATGGATATAAGTGTATTAGCTTAAAATACTATAGAATTCACACATATTTACATTTGTACAATTAATTTAAATGGCAAGCTATTAGCCAAAGAAACATTTATAATTTCACATCCCTCAGTAACATTATACTATATTCTAAAAATATGAACTCGATTACCCTACCTAATTTTTATTATTATTATTATATCTAAAATTCAAATAATAAAAAACAATAAATAATATAAGTGGCTATAGTATTATATCAAACTTAAATTTATAATACTTTTAAAAATAAAATGTGCGTATATTAAAAAAATTTACTAACGCAAAATTACTGCAGAATATTAAAAAAATATCATGGTACAAAGATAAGAAATTGAGCTAAACAAAAAAAAATTAAGGTAAAAAATGTTATTCCTGGTTTTGCTTCTTTTTTTTTAGGAATTTGTGAAACGAGGTTCCCTTTTATCCAAGAATGCTTGCATGCCCTCCTTCCTATCACTCTGAGATATCGAAAAATATATAAATAATATACATTTTAAATTGATTAACATATTTATGACATGCGTAATTATTTTATTGTTTTATATAAATATTTTCAATGACGAATGCTTCTGAATCAATATTAAATTAAAAACCCGTATCGTAGGTTTCAATGCAAAACAGTCTCAAAAAACGCATTTTATTTATTTAAGTGATAACTTCAAATTTAATAAAAGATAATGAACTATTTATTAAATATATAATTACATTTTGTAGCATGAATAAACATTTATTTAAACAAAAATTATAATAGTGATTGTAGGATATTATAATACATATATTGCCCAAATTTTAAAAAAAGGATAGAATGGAAGTTTTAAATACAGATAAAAAAAATAAGGCATTTCGATTAGATATTAGATTACGAGCTTTTAGGATGCGATAGGAAACATATCGATAAACACATAAATGCAGAAAATCTTATTTTTAATATTTTGTTAGTCAGACTGATTTGTAAAGAGATCTAAGGATCATAGGCGTATTCAGGATTTCGATAAGGGTAGAAGGAGGGAAGTATTAGGTGGGATTCCCCTCCCCCCATGAATTGAAGGGGAGAGAGGTAGGGGAGGGTGTAGGGGGAATTCCTTCTGAAAGCAAAAATTTTATTAAAATATATACATAATTATTACCGTAGCGAATGTCGCGTAAAATCCTTTCCTTTCGAATCTCATGCCCTCTTTCAGACTCAATTCGTAAGCTTTTTATTATATAAAATAAAATATGAATAGAATCTTCCTTTTTTTCTTAAAATCTTTTCATTCATTTTACTAATGCCAAATTTTTCTTTCTTTACTTATTTATTGAGTTCAGCAATATTAACGAAATATCAGAGTTTTGCAAAACCACATGTTTCTCAGCCACCCTAATTCTGCATGCCTATACTCAATTTTATTTAGATCCTAGTTTTTTTTAAATTAAAGTTTCCAAATTATTCAAGCACGGTCAAGATTTATTCAGCAGCTCCTGATATTTTTGTAATTTGTCATTATAATAATTTATCCCTTCATTTGAATAATGATTTTAAGATTATATCAATCAAATTAACAATAAGTAAAGGGAACAAATTTTTATAAAAATTAATAAATTTTGACATTTTTTTTTCTCGTAAGATTTGATAATTTAATGAGTTTTTAAGAAAGTCACTTTTTTTTGAGCCAAAATAAAAGTGTATTATTAGCTTTTTAAAAGAATAATCGATATCGATCGATCTTAGAAACGTGACGTCATTTATGTTTGGTTCTGACCTGTCCCACATTTCATATATTTTTTTAGGTGTGCTAAGTCGTTCCCATTTATTTTAAAAAAAGTCCAAATGCGTCAATCCCGAATTCGAGCGTTGCGGGGATTTAATAACGACTAACTAATAATGTAAATTTAACTTACTACAATATCGAGAAAAAATGAACAAGATAATTTTCTATACATAATTTACCGGCATTAACAGCTTCCTTGGCCATAGCAACTATCAGAGGCGAGAAGCCAGCAATTTTTTGAGCGAGTTTGAGCGTTTCCTCTACCAATTTATCGACGGGAAATATTTTACTCACCAGGCCTACATTTATATAATAATTTATATTTTTTGTTAAAGGAATTTTCCTACATGTTAGCATTTTAATCCATCATAATATGGTAAACGCGTTCTTAAGACCCAAAATGATAAGAAAAATCTACAAATGTCACAAGTGCCACAAAGGGCTCATGCCATATTATGGTAACCTCTTTCTACCCCCGCGCCTGCCAGACAGACTTAAGAAGTGATTCTTACCTCAACACAGGATTGGGAAATGTCAATTATCAAAGTACACCTAATGTAAAAAGAGTTCGGGGTTAAATATCAGATATATTGTTCATTATGTAAATGAAATATATTGAATAAATCTTATATCGGTTTATAAGGGATATGTTGTTATAAAATTAAAAAAAATTAACCGATTTCTTTGGCTTGTTGGGCATTAATTGGCTCGCCGGAAAGAACCATTTCCATTGCTACCGACTTTCCAACACTCCTCACTAACCTCTGAGAACCACCGGCGCCTGAATTAAAAAAATTTTATATAATTTATCCAATCGATTCATTGAGAAATAATAATCAATTAGGTATTTATGTTAGTCAATTGGCCACCGAATTAGCTATTATTTAAAATATAAGGACATTTAACCCTTTAAAAAAATGTGGTATAATAATAAAGTACGTTCCTATTCCTAATATATATTTAACCATACTAATATTTTATATTTTCAACACAATTTCTACATACCCGCAACCTGATTACGGATTCATTTCATTAGTGATTATCTTTTATTTAGATTATATTCTAAAGGGTAATGCAAATTTTAGGAATGGGGTTTATTGGAGAAACACTCCATTAATATTTAAATCGCAACATGTGTGCAATCTTTGGTGGTTATGGGAATGGGGAGAGATAGATATGCAAAAAAACTTTTAATTCTAACCCGGTGTAGTGCCCAGTTTAATTTCAGGTTGCCCGAATTTGGCATTTTCACCGGCGTATATTATGTCACACATCATGGCTAATTCACAACCTCCGCCCAACTTTAAAAGAGAAACAAAAATATTATTATATCGTTTTACATATACATTGGGATGGAGGGAAGGAAAGGGGCAAAATGTGTTAGAAAGGAAAATTGGAATTTATATTGAGAATATAATAATGTACTATTATCTGCAATTTTTTAAAAAAATTCATTATTTATTATAATATCTTATTGTTTGTTTCCTCTTTAAATTTCACATTTTATTTTCGATATTGTGTAGTGCTCACCGCAAATCCATTCACAGCTGCTATAATTGGTTTCCTTATGTCGGTGATTATGTCCCATCGCTCTATGAATCTTTCTTTGGTGCAATCGGTGAACGACTTTTGGTTCATTTCCTTTATATCGGCTCCAGCTTTGATAAAAAATAAATAATATGAATGTTGTAAGAAATGAAGGAAAAAATGAGAGAAAAGAGGGGGGGGCAGTATGATGTAATCCTATCACTAAAATTTTAGGTGGTACACTTTTAGTTAACCTATATAATCAGTATCCATTTTGTAATTTGATCATCGAGGAGGGAGGGTGGACTCAACGTTATTGGTTCAAGGAGGATATGGAAGGCTCTAGGAAGATATTAGAAGAAGAAATATGGTTTGACTATTATTGCTTTCGAATTTTATTTAACTCATCAACATTGTTTATTTTTTTTAAGGCTATTTCCATTAAATATCGATATACAATCGATGTCGATATTAGACTTTTAGAAAAAATATCGAATCAGCTGATATTCCTTTTTCTCGTAATAAATCTTCATAACTCCCATAAATAAAAATGTTTAATATTTTTACATTCATTTTTTTTAACGATAGAAGAAGTAAAGTATAATATGTAAACTAATATAAGAGTAAATTATTCAAGATTTTCGTTTATTTATAGTCTATTGTTTTCATTGAAAAGAACTTATGGTAAATAAAAATCATGCGAATCTTAATTGACAAAGATATCAATATTTATCAATCCTCTTGATTATTGAAGGGTTAATGCTGAGAGGTAGTGTTGTTAAACGGCTGATTTGAGACGATTTTTTAAAAACGGAAAAATACAATATTTTATCCAAAAAAATATTGCCTTAAGCCTCGAGATTTCGCCGATAGATGTTCAATCTTGTGTGCCATTCTATGAGCAAAATCTTTAGGCTTGCATAACATTTTTCTAAATAAAATATTGAGTTAACCGTATTTAAAAATCGGCTCAAAACGAGCCGTTTAACAACACTACTGAGAGGTTTCCAACTTAGTCCTCATAGGAGAAACTTATTATAACATAAACTTGAGGCTCCTATCTTTATGAAGAAAAATCTTCAGTATTATTAGGGATGTACCAATATTTTTTATCGGATCGAATCGGGCCGATATGTCACCTATTTTGAAATGTCAGTTATCGGCCAATATTACAAATTAGATATGTTATAGGCAGAGTTGTGGAGCGGCGCTGCTACATTTTTTCAAAAACACCTGGAGCGCCCCTCTTTTTTAAAATTGAGGAGCTGGAACTAGCTCCTTTTATGTATAAATTAAATTATTTTTAAATATTGATAATATTTGTTAATTAAAATTCACTAAAACTGAAATTTTATTTAAATTTATCAGTTATTAAATTTTTAGCAGAGTTTTATATTGGTTTTTCATCTAATCATTTTATAAACATCAAATGTTTCCTTTTTATATTGAAAATTTTTTAAAAAATCTATTTTATTTTATTTAAATTTATCCATTATTAAATGATCAAGTTTTTCCTTTTTATATTGAAAATTTTTTAAAAAATCTTTTTTATTTTATTTAAATTTATCCATTATTAAATGATCAAGTTTTTCCTTTTTATATTGAAAATTTTTTGAAAAATCTTGTAAGTCATATTAATATTCACTTATAGATATATAATAAAAAATAGTATTAGATATTATGGATTTAGAGATCATAGATGAAGAAATCGAATTTCCATCATACAAAAAATATTTTAAACTTCTAAAAGATGTTGATCCAAATGATCAAACAAATTTAAGGACAAAATGCCTTTTGTATTTAAATAAAACTATTTAATTTTAAAAAGTGAGCAGCTTCAATCTAAAAAAGCATCTAAAAGTAAAAAACTTCTTCTAAATACAAAATGATTTGGAAGATTTTTTTGGATTCAATGAAATTGATCATCAGGAAGATAATATATTGGACAAATATTTTTTAAATATTTACCAAAATTACAATTTTTGATAAATTCCCTGAATTAAAAAATATCCTTATAAAATATGATGCCCTGCTTCCCTCTGCGGAGTGGCTATTTAGTATTGCAAAAGAGGTCTTAGGGGAATGGCGTGGATGTTTGTTAGATTCTAATTTAGAAAACTTATTACTTTTAAAAGCTAATAAAAGTTTATAAATATTTTGATAGATCATTTAACATAAATAAAGCTTTTTGATAAAAAAAAATATGATTTTGTTTCGTATACCTTCTAAAAAACGAAAATCAAAGGAGAGGTTATGGAGTGGCACTTTACTTGGAGTGGGAGCTAGCTCCTTTTAAAAATGTAGTAGTGGGATCGGGAGCTAGCTCCTTTTGAGAAGGTAGGAGCGGGAGCTAGCTACTTTTAAGCGTTAACAACTCTGGATATAGGCAATCAGCCAATATCAATTTAATATCGGATCAGATCGACCTCCAAAAAGTGGTATTGGTACACTCCTGAGTATTATAATTAATTATTTTATATTTGGCAATTATATTATTTTATTTATTGATATTTAACCTTTCAATTCTCCTGTAAAAAAAACAGGGATCTGATAGAGGCTAATTTGAATATATTTCCATTAATAATCATTCTTTTGTTTTTATATTTTGAAATGAGATAACGCTGACCTTTCCCTTATAAAATATTATTTATTTACTATGCTTAGATAAAAAAAAATGTTGATTAAAATGAACAGTGAAATATGTTTAGTACAATAGAACAATTATTCAATAGAAATTGGTACATCAGCAATGCAGAACCCTTACCCTGCAATACATTCTTTACATTTTTTATTCAACCTAATCTGAAAAATATATATAATTTTCATAGGGTGGCAATGATCTACATGATATTTTGCTAACATCACAATAAACATTTGAGATAATAAAAATGGTCATGGCACATTTTTAGTCATTTTATTGGTGTTGAAGTTATATTCTTAAAAATTATTAAATAAAGCTAATTCTAATGTTAAGATCATTACTTTTGTCTAGGTATAAATAAGAACACTTAATAAAAATCCACTCTGATATGACAAAAAAGAGCACAAATACAGTATGCCCCTTATCAGTTTTCATACTAACTGATACACCTGAAAATTTTTATGGACATTATATAACAACATTGATAGAAAAAAGTGATGGTATAAAGTTTGTCATAACCAAGCAAGATGTGTCTCATGCCATTCATATCAATTGTTTAAAGAAATTACATAAAATATAAAAAATGTCAATATTGTATCTAATAAATTTTATCAACAAATTTTTTAAGTTATATTGTAGTTTAATTTTTTCCTGTATATACAAACTATTTTTATATCCTTAATGGTAAATGTTGCAGATATGTATTGGCTTAGATTTCCTATTTAAGATTTCTTAGTTAAACTTTAATAAGTAATATTTTAAACAGTTAAGCATTTTTATTGGCTAGAAAAAGTATATAATAGGTTAAATAAGAAAATGATTTATAATTAATTTTCTTTAATTTTATATTTGTTATTAAAACTAAAATATAGTTAGTTTTTAAAAAGTAAAATTAATTTTGCTCATAATAATATCTATACAAATATCATGAAATATGTTGATATACATATATTCTTTTGTTTTATATTTTTCCAATTTACAAAACTAACATTTAAAAAATTGAATTTAGATTGATTGTTCTGATTAAAAGTCAAAAATTTACTTAAAATTTTACTTTATTTTTTTAATTGTATTCTTAATGAGTATAATCATACCTGCAAATGCTTTAGTACTCCCAGTTAAAACGATAGCCCCAATGTTTGGATCTTTATCTATAGATTTGCAAGCATCCATCAATTCAACAATAAGAGAGTCACATAAGGAATTTAATGCTTTTGGCCTATTTAAAGTGATTAGAGCAATATTTGAATTTGGGCCCTTTTTCTCATATATTATATCATGATATTGCATAATGCTTCCTATATAATTTGATTATTGTATTATTTGAAAGTAAATGATACCTATAAAGTAATAACTTTTGTTAGATTTAAATAATTGTAAGGCCCTTGGTATTAGCATTTTGAGAAAAATAATTTATTGTCAGCTGATCGGTTTAAAGTTTTAAATTAGAAAAATAGCCAATAAAAATAGAGAATAGTTTTTTTAGATTAAATGACGGTACACTAAATAAATCATGCGTTTTTAAAAATATAGCCCACAAAAAAAATTGAAAATATTGATCAGCTGAAACCATAGTGGTTAAATTGCTAGATTTGGGTTGATTATAAAAAAGGGCTTGATTAAGATCGTTAGAAGTTATAATATATATTGTTTATATTTTAATTGTTATTATTACTAGAATTATATGTTAATCAAAATAAAAAAAAGAGACAAATCATTAAAAATTCTATATAAGATAAAAGACCTATTTTTTTATTTATACGATTTTATTAATTTAATTTGACTTGTTTTCTTATTTATATTATACGATATAATTATAAGTTTTGTGATAACAAAATATATTAAATTAATATATTTAAAAAAAGAAGTTCTGCCTATAATCATAAAGATTTTAACCCCTCTAATAATTTTGAATTTGGTGACCCCGACGAATTATACAAGAAAATTGATGAAGAATGAAAAGGTTTTAAAAGAGAAGGGAAACCAGTTGGGAAAAGAGATTTTAAAAAAGTAAGAAAACCAGATTGTTAATAAAGGTTTTAAAAAAGAAGGAATACCAGATTGGGAAATAAGGTTTAAAAGAAGAAGGAAAACTCAAGTGACGAAAGCCATTTTCAGGTCAGGTAAAAAAAAATTAAAGTACAATATTGCCTGATTTGCTGGGCATAAGCACATAATTAAAGGGGATGGATGTATATGTGCATTATTGGATTATTTACACTTAATATTATTCCAACTTTTAATGTTACTGTTATTATTAAATTGTTTATTTTATTATATTTGTATTTTTTGTAAAATGTTTATTTCATTATATGAATTTGATTACAAAAAAAAATGTAATTTGATAACGAATAAAATAAAAAAAATATATTTCAAGAATTACTACTAATAATACATTTCAGTTACAAATAGCTAATATCTTTATATTATATGTGCTAGTTAATTTTTTGTCACTGGAAAATGAAAACCTTAAAATTTATAAAATATTATTGGGAAATTGTTCATACTAATTTTACAGAAGAAGAATTAAGAAAGTCGCAGCGTAAGAATTAAAGGGCAGACTTTGACAATAGAGAGACATGATGTGTAATATGGGATTATAATACCAGAGGTGGTTTTCCACAGAAAGAAATGGGACAAAATGCCTCAAATGTGCAAACTATTGAAAGTAAAAGAATTGATATAATTATGATGCCTAAACTGCAGATCATTGGAGGACAGAACGTGGAATGCTTTAGATGTGAAAAACAGGAACATATTGCAAGAAAATGTGGCAATTTGGGACTACATAATGGCAAATAAGATGCGTTACAGATCAAGATGAGGCGGTTTATAGTGGCAAGAGAAATAACTTGAGATAAAATAAATTTTATGGGATGTGTAAATATGAAACAAGAGGGAGTAGTACTTGATACTTGTCCGATAGTGAGGATGTAATGAGAGAATGGTACCCATTTTATTTAATATAGGGGTGGCTATTTCGGTGATGGGTTACAATAAATATCGGTGTATTTGGCTATTTGGCCCGATGAATTTATGAGCCATATTTTACCAATTTTTCTTCAAGTTTGTAAGATATTACTTGATAATTATCCAATATATGAAATTTGTTTTTTGAGGTCTCTTTAAAGCTTATTGAACTGGACGAATATTCCACTTATTCCTATGGAATTTAGCAAAATTAAAAGAGATTGAGAATCCAGAAATTCGAAGTATCACAGGTGGCGTTAATGAGAAGAGTTAAAAATAGAGGCAGTAATGGAAGAAAGAGTGGATATTAGATTTATGGATTATTAATCGGAGAGTAGAAGTGGTATTGGGGTGAGACTGGATCACCCGAATTAGTTCGGAATATAGATTTTGGGGAGCATCTTTATGGCGGGGTGTGTTTGTAACCATAGCTAGTTGTTGTAGCTGTTGAAAAAAGAAGAAATAAATTTAATATAATACATCAAATGTCAGTTATTTTCTGACAGGGGAATGAAGTTTTCCTTGGGGGAAGAAGAGGAGGTGATGAACACATGATGGGTTGATGGTTAAGGATTCTTTTGTTATCCATTTTGGGATGAAGAGTTTGTATTAATTCGAGAAGATGTCAGCGAGGAACTAATAATGGACCTTTGGGACATGAAGAATTAGATAATTAGATATTTATGATTTGTAATTTTTTTGATAATGTATAGATATTGTTGTTGGTGTTTTTTAATAAAGAAATTTGAGTCGTATTCTTATTCTTATTATTATGAAAGGATGGCTTGTAATATTGGTACCGTCGACAGGATCGGATCTATCTAGGGATTAATGTGAAATCACAACGCAAGTACTAAAAAAAAAACTATAGTGAGATTAAGGATTGGGTTTAAGGATTTCTATACTTTTATATTTAACTTAAAAAGGTGTAAGATAGAAAGTATGTAATGACTATTAGGCAGAAATATGGAAATAAGATCAGGAATTTAAGACAGTAATATTTGGTATATTATCTTATGTCTAGATGTATATGGTACATATAATTTTGATCATTATTTGGTATGCCTTAAAACTCATTGAATGGTGTTATAGGTATTCCGTCATAGGAAGCTGAAAGACCTCATGAACAGCAGGACAGAAAGGATTGTTAAATATTTAAATATGTGAAATTTATGAAAATATATATGGATATAGACTTTTGTAATAAAGTGTGTATTATTTAATTATGCATTTTGGGTTTGTAAAGGGATGAATATGTATGGGATAATTTATTAATAATTAAGGTTAATATATTGCATAGGTAACATGTGATATATTTAACTATGAATTATTATTTATAATGTTAATATATTGTATAGGTAACATATGATATATTTAATTATGAATGAGAATTTGAAGGAATTGAAGTATGATGAAGTCAGAATAATATCTATAATGTTAGATGTGGATAGTTATTTTGATTTAGTGTCTGCATTTAGTGTATATATAAATTGGATAGGAATTTGTGTGATACATTAGATGGTGTATAATATTTTTTTTTTCCAAATTATGAAATCTTTATATTTAATATATATATTTTTTTTTTAAATTATAAATTTTTATAAGAAGTTTTATTTGCAATTATTATATTATTTGTGTGGTATGCAATGATGTGAAGGGAAAATATTTTTACAGATAAGGTCAGCCCGTGTTGAGGGGTATGCCTTGAGGTGAAAATATTGTTTAGTTTGCATACTGGGGAAAGTTTTTTTTTTGTAAATTTATGCTGCATAATATATTTTTTTTAATCTTTTTAATAATTTTATAACACATCACATTTTACTATTTAATTATGAACATATTTTTAAAGAAAAGACTCAAATTATTTTATATTGTGAAGGTATATTAAAAATTCTTTACATATATACCATATAGCCCATTATATTATCAATTTTTGTTACTTTGCATTCTACATTTTTGTGAATTTGTGCTAATTGTGATGACAGAGTTAGGTAGAAATGGTATATTTTTCTTGGGATACTGAGTAATTCCTAGATGGAAAATATTGTATTTTCTACATATTATATATTTGTTCCTTCATATATAATATTAACTGTATTTATATACGTATGTTTTGTAATTTTATTTATAATCTTTGTTCGGCCAAGTTTCGCAATTAGTTTTAATACCTTAAGATGGATTTTTATATTCATTTTAGGAAATATTTATAAAGATGTAGCTTTGTTTTTTTTCACATGATAGAATGAAAATTACATGTGTTGAAATTGCGTCTCACACATAGACAATGTTTTCACATTACATTATTATATGTAAATTCATTATTTCCTAATTACCATGAATCATACCCTAATAATGTATATTATAGCTAGTAGTTCCCAAATGTCTTAAAATGAATAAATTATTATGTTTTGCGGATATTACATTGTCCATATTAATGTTCCGTAGATTATAAATGCAGATACCCCCATGTACATGTCATTATTGATAATGTCTGTTTTGGCGATTTTATATTGAAATGTACTGGAATTATTATATTATAAATCAGTATAAGGGAAGTTGATTCGATAAATTCCCTGAACATCTTCAAGGCGTCCCAATACAATTATAATGGGCGAGTCGATACAATTCAAAGAGGTGATTCGATACACATCAAAGGGGCGATTCGATACAACACCACCACAAAGAGAGGGACGCTGGGCTTGTGAAGGGTGGGCGTGTTGTAGCTGTTGAAAAAAAGAAGAAATAAATTTAATATAATACATCAAATGTCAGTTATTTTCTGACAGGGGAATGAAGTTTTCCTTGGGGGAAGAAGAGGAGGTGATGAACACATGATGGGTTGATGGGTGAGGATTCTTTTGTTATCCATTTTGGGATGAAGAGTTTGGATTAATTCGAGAAGATGTCAGCGAGGAACTAATAATGGACCTTTGGGACATGAAGAATTAGATAATTAGATATTTATGATTTGTAATTTTTTTGATAATGTATAGATATTGTTGTTGGTGTTTTTTAATAAAGAAATTTGAGTCGTATTCTTATTCTAATTATTATGAAAGGATGGCTTGTAATACTAGTGAGGACATATGTAATGGTGGGGCATATGAGAGTTAGGGAATATTGCTAGGAATTGAGACTATCTTCAATGGGGAGGGAGAAGTGAAAAAAGGTGCCAAAATCGGGGGAAATAATTATAGGAGAGAAATCTAAGGAAATAATTATAGGAGAGAAATCTAAGGAAATAATTATAGGAGAGAAATCTGAGGAAATAATTACAGGAGAGAAATCTAAGGAAATAATTATAGGGGAGAAATCGGGAGAAATAATTCTATAAGAGAAATCAGGGAAATCATTTTAGGGGAGAAATAGCTCTGAATAATTTGAGGAGAAATAGGGGGGAGGGATTATTATAGGAAAATAATTATAGGGGAGAAATCGGGGGGAATTGCATGGGAAGATTTGGGGTGTTTAGG